CTCAGTGATGAGTACAAATCCGTTATTGATGCAATTAATGCCCGTGAAACGTCAATTTCTTTTGCTGAACTCCATGAGAAACTTCTCAACAAATAAGCATCTCTTCAGACCGCTCAACCATCTTCTCTATCACTACCAGCAACGGCAAATCCCACAGCCTTCCGTAATCGTCCAAATTGGCGTCCACCAGCCACTCATCCATAACAACCAGGCCCTACGACTACACTTTCTCCTCATGATCAACGCCAACCCAAACCTTATTTGGGTCGTTGTCAAGCATGCGGCATTCAAGGACACACTGCCAAACGATGCCCGATGTTTCGGCTTGTCACTAATCAAATATCCCCGACACCTCATTCTCAAGGCTCTCAGTGATATTGCCCCTCCACACCCTGACAACCACGAGCTAATCATGCTGTTCTTGGGAACAACACCACTCCTACTTGGCTGCTGGATAGTGGATCATCTCACCACGTTACGTTTGACTTGAGCAATCTCTCTCTTCATAGCCCATATCAAGGATCTGATGATGTCATGATCAGTGATGGATCGGCCCTTCACATCACCCATACTGGTTCTACCACCATACCTACTTCCTCTTGCACATTTACTTTACAAAACATTTGTGTCCCTTCCATGAAAAAGAACTTAATTTCGATTAATCAATTTTGCACTAATAACCATGTTTCTGTTGAATTCTCACCCTCTGGTTTTTAGGTGAAGGATCTAAACACGGGGGCAATCCTTTTAATGGTGAACCTAAGGATGGCGTATATGAGTGGCCGACCACATCCCCTTCAGTTACCTCTTCACCGTTGCTTGCATTTTCCAGTGTCAAGACCACTTCGTTCGAGTGACACTCTAGACCAGGCCATCCATCATTTACTATTATGAAAAATATTGTTTCCAAGTTTTCTTTACCATTATCTAGTCCGTTATCCTCTTCCACACATTGTAATGCATGTTCATGTAATAAAAGTCATAAAATTCCATTTTCTTCTTCTACCTTAACCTCATCCCATCCGTTTGAACTTCTCTTTTCTGATGTATGGATCTCTCCTGTTTATTCTGTTGATGGTTTTTAGTACTATGTTATTTTTGTTGATCATTATACCCTGTACATTTGGTATTATCCACTTAAACAGAAATCCCATGTGTATAATGTCTTTCTGCGCTTCAAGGCATTAGTCAAAAACCAATTTAAACACCGAATTGTTACCCTCTATTCAGATAATGGTGGCGAATATAAAGCCCTTGATAGTCTTCTCTCCACCAATGGTATATCTCATCTTACTACACCACCCCATACACCAGAACACAATGGTATTTCCGAACGATGTCATCGTCATATTGTTGAAACCGGTCTATCTCTTCTCACACATGCATCGATGACTCTAACTTATTGGACTTATGCCTTTGCCACTGCTGTATATCTTATCAACCGTATGCCCACACTCACACTACATCTTTCATCTCCTTTTGAAAAACTCTTTGAGTCTCAACCCAACTACACTAAACTTCGGGTGTTCGGTTGCTTATGTTATCCGTGGCCTCGTCCTTATTCTCAACATAAACTTGACTCTCGTTCCACTCCTTGTGTTTTTCTAGGTTACACTTCAACACAAAGTGCCTATATTTGTCTTGATCTGTCCATTTCTAAAACATTTATTTCTTGTCATGTCAAATTTCTTGAAAACTCTTTTCCCTTTACCACTCACCAATCCCATCTCTCTCGTCCCACCCCAGAGATCATTTCCAAATGGCTTCCCCCGGTCCAAATTCTACCCATTTCAAGTGGCTCATTCAATACGCCTCCACAAAAGGGATTCCTCGTGTCAACATCTGTCACAAAATGCCTAAATGGTCGACCGACCCTCCTCACCAGTCGACCGTCGACCTCTGTCCACAGACCTACCTTTACTTGGACACAGTTTGGTTGACTGCCAAGAAACCACGATCGACCACTTACCACTAGAACCACACAATTCTGAGACCTCTTCTACTTCAACCACAGCTCAACCCACCCATCAAAATACCCATCCCATGACCACTAGAGTGAAAAATTACATCCACAAACCCCTAACCAAGATGAATCTCACTGCTGTCCTTTCTCAACCATCAGACAATGGGCCTTATAATGTTAACCAAGCCCTAAAAGATCCCAAATGGAGACAAGCTATGAATGATGAATTTGATTCTCTTGTTCGGAATAGAACCTGTGAGCTTGTTCCATCTACTTCTCTATAAAATTTTGTTGGATGTAAGTGGGTTTTTCATATTAAATGGCTTCCTGATGGTTCTGTTGACGAGTACAAAGCCAGATTCGTTGCCAAAGGTTTTCATCAGCGACCTAGAGTGGATTATCATGACACTTTTAGTCCGGTTGTCAAGCCAACAACAATACACCTTGTTCTAAGCCTGGCAGTCAGTAGAGGTTGGCAGTTGCAACAGTTGGATGTTAATAATGCCTTCCTTCAAGGCCATCTTTCTAAAGATGTCTACATGGCCCAGCCTCCAGGATTTGTTGATAGAGACAATCCAACACATGTATGCAAATTAAAGAAGGCTATATATGGACTCAAGCAGGCCCCACATGCTTGGTACCTTGAACTTCACCAGTTCCTCATTGAGACTGGGTTCACAAACTCTCATGCAAACACTTCTTTATTCATTCTCCACTCAGGTGACATTACTATATATCTACTTGTTTATCTGGATGACATTATTATCATAGGTACCAGCACCAATATTATTCAACGCTATATTGACCTCCTGGCACAAAGATTTTCAATCAAGGATCTTGGTGCCTTGTCTTATTTTCTCAGCATTGGGGTTCTCACCACTCCATCTAGTCTGTTACTTACTCAAAAGCGCTACATCACTAATCTTCTTGCCTGGACAAAAATGTTTGGTGCCAAACCTGTTACTACACCACTTGTTACAGATGGAAATCTTACACTTCATTCAGGTACAGCTCTGACTAACTACACATAATATAGAACAATTGTTGGCAGTCTAGAGTATATTTGCCTCAATCACCCAGACATAGCATATGTTGTTAACAAGCTTTCCCAATTCATGCATTGCCCGATGTCTGAACATTGAAATGCTGCAAAATGACTACTTCAATATCTGTGTGGCATATTGACTCATTGATGATTTCTTCATAAGGAAAATCCACTTTCTCTTCATGCCTTCTCAGATGCAGATTGGGCTAGCAACAAAGACGACTATACCTCTATGAGTGTCTATGTTGTCTATCATGATCGTCATCCTATTTCTTGGTCATCCAAGAAACAGCGTACAGTTGCTCGGTCATTGATAAGTGAGTTTTAACTCACTTATTTAATGTCCTAAAATTGGATAATTTACAATATCTTCAAGTTTTTAGGTTGTTTTAAATATGTTTGTGAGTGATTCAGGTAAACAAAGAAGAATTGGATCACTTGGAAGAAAAACGTCAAAAGGAGCCCGTTCTAGAGGCGCGCCTGCGCGCCCACATCAGGGACTCCAGCGCGCGCCTGCGTGCCCACATCAGGGAAACCAGTGTGCGTCCGCGCCCTGGCCCCCAGCGCGCCCGCACAACTTGAGGGGCGCGCCCGCGCACTAGGCGTGTTCCTCCAACTTCAGACACGCGCCCGCGTGCTATTCCTCCAACCCAGGCACGCGGCCGCACGCTCTGAGGGCTCTGGCAAGCTGAGGTGCCACTTTCTGGGCATATAGAATTTGGCTGGGCCGAGTGGAAGACATAGAGAGCGGTGGAGAGTTTTGAGACAACACAGACAAAAGGAAAAACCCTAGTTTTTAGGGCAGCAAATAGTTTTTTTAGGGAATCAGAGGAAGCTCTTAGAGATTGGAAGATGGACTACACTGAGTTTTATTTTTCTTCCTCTTCCCTTCTCTTGTTCTAAGACCTAGCAGTTTCTTTATTTTTGTGGATTTATCATGTATTTTCATATTTGTTTAATCTTGAATATATTTGAGTTTACATTGATGGGTTGCTAGATTTTTATGCTAGGGGACTTGATGTAACCTTGCTACGATTATGCTATGAATATTTGATGCTATTTGAAGTTTTTCATGCCCTAACATTTGTGCTCTTCTTTGCTTAATGCTTTAATAAATTGAAAGATTGATTAGAAGATTTAGATATGTGGATTTAGGCTTGAGAGAGTCACTTGCACATGTTGGGATTTGTTGAACACAGCCTAGGGAGTATTGGAATCGAGAGCTGAATATGAGCTAGGTAATCACAAATAAATTAGAGCTTAATGAATGCACAATTAACTTAATTAATAGGGATATTAATTAGGTGATTTTGCATATATTTGACTCGGCACTCGAGAGAGGGAGTTGGATTATTTTAGGAACTTCATGATTAATGTTTGGCTTGAGGGAAATCAATATCATTAAAAAGGATTAGAATAATTAGGCAAGGTGAAATCAAGGACCCTAACTACCTTATCATTATAGCCCCCTTTGATCCCAAAAGTTTCTTCCATTGTTTAATTTGCTCATCTAATTAGTTTAACATTTTATTTTTGTTTTAATTGATCTCATTCTCATGATTGGACTTGTCTAGATAAAACTGGGTTATTCTAGTTGCAATACTTAGCTAGAGATTAGGAACACAATCCTCGTGGGACACCACACTCACTCACTATTTTATTACTTATCGACCTCGTGCACTTGCGAGTAGAAAATAGGTGTTATTTTCGCACCGATCAAGTTTTTGGTGCCGTTGCCGGGGACTGGTTGTTGTTAAAACTTGGCTAATATTGTGATGAAATAGCCTACTTTAATTTAGACATTTTTATTTTATTTTATTTATTATTATTTTTTTGTTTTTAAATTCTTTTAAATTTTTGTTTGCTTGTTTGCCTTTTTGTTCTTGAAGGTGAATGCAAAGAGTCCGTAGCTTGGAATTATTACCTCATGACTTGGAGATTGAATGGACAATTCGTGAAATTAGAAGGGAAAAGAGAAATCAAGCACGAGCTATGGGTGTTCAGAATCAGAATAACAATAATAATGAGCAACAGAGGGCAATTCGGGATTATTTCAAACCCCCAATTCAGGAACACTATTCAGGTATCCGGAGGCAGACCATCAATGCCAAAAATTTGGAGCTGAAGCCTTCCTTGATCTCGATGGTTCAACAGAATCAGTTTGGGGGATTGCCCAATGAGGACCCGAACACTCACTTGTCCATGTTCTTGGAAGCGGCTGACACGGTGAAGATTAATGGTGTCACTGAGGGCACCATCAAGTTGAAATTGTTCCCATTCTCTCTTCGGGACAAGGCTCGACAGTGGTTGATGTCACTGCCAACATGGAGTATTGGCACTTGGGAAGAGATGACTGAGAGGTTTCTTGCAAAGTTCTTCTCATATCTAAGGCATCCCAGTTGCGGAGTGAGATTGGATCTTTCCGCCAGAATGACTTTGAGCCGTTGTATGAAGCTTGGGAACGGTTCAAGGACTTGCTCAGAAAATGTCCTAAGCATGGGTATGATGAGTGGATGTTGATTGACAGGTTCTATAATGGGTTGAATGGCCAATCGAGGACTATTGTTGATAGCACTGCAGGTGGATCATTGATGGCAAAGTCTATTCCAGAGGCCTACAATTTGCTTAAGGAAATGTCTACCAACAGTTATCAATGGTCTTCAGAGCGTTCAATACCGAAGAAAACTGCTGGTATTCATGAAGTGGGTCTGTTAATTTCATTGTCGGCACAGGTTTCAGCTTTGTCAAATCAGATTGTAGCCTTGACTAACAAAGAAGAGTCATTTAGCAGAGAGGCAGTGGCAGGTGCCAGTACACTTTTTGCACAGGATGAGTACACTCAAGAGCAGGTTCAATTTGTGAACAACAGGAACTTTAACTATAGGCCCAATCAATTGCCTAATCGCTATCATCCTGGCTTGAGAAACCATGAGAATTTCTCTTATGCCAACAATAGGAATGTTTTGCAACCTCTTCTGGGTTTCAACCAACAAGTGGTGGAAAAGAAACCTTTTGTGGAAGATTTGTTGAGTACCTTCATTGTTGAGACTAGAGGCAGGTTTAACAAGGATGAGGCTAGACTTGACAACATTGAGACACATTGTAACAACATGAATGCAACCATGAAGTCCCTTGAGGTGCAAATCGGTCAATTAGCCAATGCGGTTAAGGGGCAATCATCCGGCAAGTTCCCAAGTGATACGGAGCCTAATCCCAAAGACCATTGCAAGGCTATCACCTTGAGAAGTGAGGAAGAAGTTGAGGCTCCTAAGCCCCAAGAGGATAAAATCAAGGAAGAAGAGGTAGGATCAGAGCAACCAAAGGAGAGTGTAAGGCCTAAGTCGATCTCTTTTCTGGATAATCCTCCTCTCATCGCTCTTACCCTCCCGTATCCGTAAAGATTCAAAAAGAAGAAGTTGGATGCTCAATTTTTGAAACCGTATCCGCAAAGATTCAAAAAGAAGAAGTTGGATGCTCAATTTTTGAAGTTTTTAGAGATTTTCAAAAAGATCCATATCAACATCCCCTTTGCGGATGCACTTGAACAAATGCCTAATTATGTCCAGTTTATGAAGGATGTCATGGCAAAGAAGCGGAGGTTGAAGGATTATGAGACCGTCAAGCTAACGGAAGAGTGTAGCGCTATCCTTCAAAGGAACTTACCTCAAAAGTTGAAGGATCCTAGGAGTTTCACTATTCCGTGTACTATTGGAGATTCTCACTTCGAGAAGGTCTTGAGTGATCTTAGAGCTAGCATTAATCTTATGCCTCTGTGTGTCTTTCGAAAGCTCAGACTTGGGGAAGTCACACCAACTACCATATGTTTACAAATGGTAGATAGGTCTCTCACTTATCCATGGGGTGTCATAGAGGATGTGTTGGTGAATGTGGATAAATTCTTTTTTCCCACTGATTTTGTTGTGTTGGATATGGAAGAGGATCGAGAAATTCCCATCATCCTAGGGAGACCCTTTTTGGCTACTGGAAGAGCGTTGATCGATGTACAAAGTGGTAATTTGACTTTAAGAGTGAATAATGGGGAAGTGAAGTTCAACATCCTGAACACAATGAGATTTTTGGAAGAGAAATCAACATGTCACCGGGTGGAAGTGGTAGAGTCGTGCATCAAGGAATTCTTTCAAGAAGTAACCCATAATGACCCTCTAGAACACAGCCTCACTACATCCTTGAACATGACCGATTTTGGTGAAGATCGTTGTATTAAGGAAGAGGGTATCGTTGATAGTGTTCTAGCTCTTAAGGCTTTACCGTGTGAAGTGGGGGATAATGCTCAAGTGAAAATTTTAGAGAAGCTTGGTGAGTGCTTCATCTCTCCAAGCTCATCGAAAGAAGGGTTAGTGCTGAAACAATTACCGGAACATCTTCGTTATGCCTTTTTGGGTGAGGATTCTTCTAAACCAATTATTATTTCAGCTTTTTTGAACAAGGAAGAAGAAGAGAAGCTCCTAGTTGTTTTGAAGAAACATGAGTCTACCTTTGCTTGGTCTATTTCGGATATTAAGGGTATAAGTCCTATAATTTTCATGCACAAGATTCTCATGGAAGATGCTTACAAGCCATTTATTGAGCACCAAAGAAGATTGAATCTAGCCATGAAGGAGGTGGTGCGTGCTGAGGTGCTGAAGTTGTTGAATGCTGGGATCATTTATGCCATTTCAGATAGCTCATGGGTCAGTCCGGTTCAAGTTGTTCCAAAGAAGGGTGGCATGACGGTGGTGAAAAATGAAAATAATTAGCTCATCCCCTCAAGAACAGTGACTGGATGGCGAGTTTGTATTGACAATCGAAAGTTGAACAAGGCCACTAGGAAGGATCATTTTCCCCTTCCTTTCGTTGATCAAATGTTGGACCGGTTGGTGGGGTACGACTATTACTGTTTTCTTGATGGATACTCGAGCTACAATCAAATTGTCATAGCCCCCGAAGACTAGGAGAAAATGACATTCACTTGTCCTTATGGTACTTTTACTTTTCGGTGGATGTGTTGGGATCGACATGTGCCCTAAGGATAGAAAATTGATTCTAGGGATTTTCTGTAGATTGACATTTTGATATTAATAAAAGAGGTTATTCATGTTTAATAAGTGGTGTCCTATTTACTTTCATTTGTTGAATGTATGATTAATTGAGCAAACATAAATACTCCTAGGCTGTTGGTAACATATCGGATTACCGTTGTATACGGGGTCTACATAGAAGACATGATAATTCGATAACAGTCTAAATAAAAGGTTCGCAATCGATGGAATAAGATTTGGGGATCTTATTCATGTTAAGATTGTAAAGGTTATCTACTTCCTTGGAGGGATGGTTTGTCTTGACCATCGGATCGGTTCCAAGTAGAAACCTTGATGTATACCAGTATTGAGGTATGACATTGGACTGGACCTAAAATGTTAATTGATTCGGTTTAATAATTCTGTTTATAAGAATCAATGACGCTTTGATTATCATCCTTCATTAATCTTAATCCTGAAATGGATACTTGAGTTCGCATCCATGACTCATGCACTTTGATCCACTATAGGTGAGACACTGATAATTGATGGTTAATATACTTGTGTGTTGGGTGTATGACATATGGATGGAGAAATCAAGATTCATAGATACGGAAACCATAGCCATCTTATAGGGTGGTTCTTTCAATGGAGAATAATGGAACTTTAAGTTAAAATGATTGAAAAGGTAAAACGAAATAAGTCCTTAATTCAATCATGGATAACATATTGGGGATTAAGCGAGTGATGAATGATCATGGAAGAAGCACTACGTAAGAGAGCTTTCGTAATACGGTAGGCAAACGGGAGTTCACCTTAGACTTTTAGTGGTATAGTCCTGAAGTTGATAATTGTTAAATAATTAATCGGGGATTAATTTTTCACAATTATAGGAGCCTATTTACATATTTCCATCGGGTCCCTCTACTAGCTCATATAGTTCCACGAAGCGTCTCGGGATTC